GCAGGAATAGAAAATACAGGGGGCTTGACTCAGATGGCAGGACATTCTATGAGCATCTGCTTACTTCCTGATTCAGACCCCCTCATCATTAATTGTTTTTGAATCTCACTCCCCTTTACTAGATAACAGCACTTTGATTCTCAGAAACCAAGAAAATGAGAATCTGAATTTCCTAAAATGTTTCCTTACTCACAATAATTGTCCATTTCTGATAGCTCTGCTAGAAATAAAAGCCCATAGCAAAGCTTAGCAGTTTCTGGGTGCAAAAAGAAGTGAATTTGAAAAAGGGTGGAATGTTGTGTTTATTAAAGAATTATCATTCAATATTGGTTTGGTTTCCAGGTAATAAAGGACCAGTACTGCTTAGGAGGAACATTGACCACCCCACGCAGAATCCCTCCTCTCCCTCCCAGATGCTTCCCCAAGGGAGGTGGATCAGGACGAGAGGTAAAATTAACTTCTGCGAGAAAGGCTTCTCCCCTATCCCCATTCCTGGCCTGGAGCAACCAACCGGTTACTAACTGAATTGAACCGTTGTGAACCCTGGCACTCCCTGTCTCAATGACAATGCTCTCGCCATATCAAATCCAGCCCACTGGAGCTGATGCAGGAAATAATCCTTTGTGCTCTTCCTCAACATTATCCAGAAAGGTGCAGGAGGGGTAGACAACACAAATCAACCTGGGCCATAAAGCATCACTGGCCAGATGAGACTGGACATCCAGAAAATGGTTTGATGCAGCCTCTCTTTAAAGCAGGACTTTAACAAGTCTGATGCTGGACTTTTTGGTAATGAAGATAAAATCTTATGTAAACCATATTGAGAGCTTGGGAGCTTGAAGCAGTGGAAAGATCCATGCTTGGGCTATCTGAGCCCTGAGTTTTATTCTGGGCTCTGACACTGATTTGCTGGGTCCCCTCCCCTTGATGAGCCTCAGTTTCCCTGTATGTGCTGTCAGGGGCTGTGTCAGATGATCTTCCCTCTCTGCTGCTCTAGGAGCTTTGCTCAACCAGAGAACTAAAAGCAGAATCTCAGGGAAGGTTTACTGAGATGAACCAGAGGTGGGTCTAGGACAGAGAGCTGAGAGGCGCCTGGTGTTCCCACGGCTGCCCCATCCTCCCTGCCCAGATCTCAGGGGGCAGTTGCTGGAGTTTGACCTTCAGGAGACCCAAAGTCTAGCCCTGACTATGAGTGACCTTGGGCATCTCTCCCTTCCCTTCTCTGGACCTCAGTATCCCCACAAGATTCATCGGGGAGGGGATCTTTCTCCTGCACCACAGTCTGGCTCGGGCTGGGATGGAGGGAATACCTGGTGGATGACGGAGGCTCTTCCTCCTCATTGAACGCCTGATGCCCTTGCCCACCCAACCATCCCGCCCGGCCCCGGCCCGGGATCTCCCTCCTTCCTGGAGGGTGTCCCTCCCTGAGGCCCTCTCAGGTCCCTCTCGGCCTGGGGTCCCTCTCCCGTCCCCGCCCAGGCCAGGTACCTGCGCCGCGGGCCCCGCCATGCTGGCCGGCCCCAGAATAAGGCGTGCCGGTGGGGGCGGCCGGAGCGGGACGGCGTCCGGGGCTGCCCCCTGGGCCGCGGGTCCCCAACCTCAGGAAGCCGGGGCGGTCCAGGGGGCCGGGGACGGCGGGGGGTGGCAGCAGCAGCAGCTGCCAGAGCAGCAGGAGCAGTCCCGGCAGATAGCGCAGCATCGTGGGCTTGGCGCTGCTGCCCGTGTCCGTCGGGGGGTCGTCGCTCCCTCGCTGGCTGGGTCAGTCGTGGGCCCGTGCGCCGCTCCCGGGCGGCCAATTTAAAGGTCCCGCGGCCGTGGGCCCCGCCCCGCAGCCTTGGGTCCCGCCCCTCGGCCGTAGGCCCCGCCCAGCGAACCCGTCCGGGGCCGCGCGCCGCCTGCTCAGTGCATTCCCGCGGCTGGCGTGGAATGTCTGGGGCCCCTCGGCCAGCGGCGCGGTGCCCGACTCCGGCCCGCCGCCGCCGCCGCCCCTCCCGCCCCAGCCCTGCGCCGGCGCGGTCTCGTCTGGGTGGTCTCGGCCCGGTGCCTCCCGGCCGGGCTCTGCCTCCCTTGAAACTTCTGCCTCGCTGTACACCCAGGGCCTGGTCGACCGCACTCGTCTGGCCAGGGCCCCAGGCTCCCGGTTCAGGAGGCCAGAGCTCCGCCGTCCAGCTCCGTTCAGGTTTGCCTGCCTCAAGGTTTCACCTCCATCCTCACGCTACGTTCCTTTTCCCTACCAAGTAACCCAGGTTTTTCTGTGGGCTCTCTGTAAAAAAAATAAAAAAGGCTCACAGAGTCTACCAGCATGAATAGACATGCTTTCATCGCAGCTTCAAAAATCCATAAACATTTGAACTTATATTACCGGGACTAGAAAGTCAAACATACATTCCCCAGAGAGCCCCCCCTCTGAGCTGGAAGGACAGCCTGTACCACAGGCTTCGAAGGCTCTCCTTCTATTCCACTTCCTCCCCAGAAGAGTGATGGTGGCAGCACAGGACTGGAGGCTGCCCAGGGGACCCTCCAGGGACTCACAGTCTACTGGCAGAGAAAGAAGCATAAATGATGTACCTGTCTAAGGGAACACACTGAATTCAAGGAGAGACTGGCTCTGCCTGAGGAAACCAGTAAGGCTTCTAAAAGCAGGTCATCTCTGAGCTGGATCATCAAACGTGACAATGAACATGAGTTCCAACAGATCCTGTCTGGTCTTCCTGCTTTCAGACTACTGCCTTTTAAAAGCTACACTCTACACAGTAATCTTAAAATCACTTCTCTTCTTAAACCTTGCAACTTCACTTCCAGTAAAATCCGAGCTCCTTTTCATGGCCACCTCATCTACTGAACTGACCACATCTGGAACTGTACTCTGCTATCCATGCGTCAACCACACTAGCCTTCCCCCTGTCCTGGAGGACACCAAGCTTGTTCCCACCTTGTGGCCTTGGCACCTGGTTGTCCCACTTCCCATCTGCCATCTTCTCCCCCCAACCCTAACACACCCGTCTCCCTCTCATCACTTCAGAGCAGTGGTTCTCAAACAATTTCTCATCTCATCAAACCTCACAGAATCTACACACTCCATCAGTATCCATGGGAGCAGCTTAGGACATTGAGAGTCATAAGGAGGGAAAACATCTCTCAGCTCCCAGTGAGAATTCACCAATTTCAAAGAATCTTAGAAGAAGCTAGAATGTTATCATAATGGGAAAGGGACACTAAGAAGATTGAAAGAAGTTATGCCAAGGTGAGAAGGGCTTGCCAAACACAATGTCTGCCAGCTCTATGGACATATGTCATTTGTCATTCATCCTACTCTGGATGATTCTCAAAGCCTTTGAATACTCTTACTAAACTTGAGGATTCCAACTTTATGAGTCAGCACCTCCCCAAGTAGAATCCAGCAACTTGCTTCCCAGCATCTCTTGCAGCTATATATGCAAGGGACCCAGACTTCACTGACCAGATGAGCTCGGCCATTCTGTTTCAGCAGCTAGTGGTGAAAAGAAGCAAGCACTTCGTAGACTTCATTCTGACAAGGGTGGGGAGACAGCTAGCTTTCAAAGCAGCCATGGAGAGGGTAGAGCTGGATTCAGTGCCTGGGGAAAGCAGGGTGAGCTCTGTTGTCTGTGCCCAGCAGCAGTAGCTGTAGATGTCCCCTAGAACTGACCTGCAATATCATCTGGGAGTGTTTCATGACTGTGTGATCATGATTCTATTAAGCCTTTGAGAATAAGCAGAAAATGTGGGAATTAAGTTTAAACTTTATGTTCTAATGTCTGTGCAGTTTTTAATGCCAGCTACCTTGCTACATGAGAGTTGGTTGAAGGCCATGTTGGCTGCTCTGGAAAAGAAGAGGACTACTTTTGAAACTTAGGTAGCACATTTGTATCATTGCCAATAAGTTCTGAAGAGGTCTTTTAATGACCTACTGCTATTAATTAACATTTAGAACTCAAGATGTATTTCTATTCAAAACAATTGAATTAATATTTGAAAAGAGCAACTCACAGCAATTTTGCTTCCTTTAATAAAAGATTGGTATTGATTTTTATTGTTTCATTTTTGTGTTGTTGTTTTGTTTTGCTTTTTTGCGGTACGCGGGCCTCTCACTGTTGTGGCCTCTCCCGTTGAGGAGCACAGGCTCTGGACGTGCAGGCTCAGCGGCCATGGCTCATGGTGCTCAACCAGAGAACTAAAAGCAGAATCTCAGGGAAGGTTTACTGAGATGAACCAGAGGTGGGTCTAGGACAGAGAGCTGAGAGGCGCCTGGTGTTCCCACGGCTGCCCCATCCTCCCTGCCCAGATCTCAGGGGGCAGTTGCTGGAGTTTGACCTTCAGGAGACCCAAAGTCTAGCCCTGACTATGAGTGACCTTGGGCATCTCTCCCTTCCCTTCTCTGGACCTCAGTATCCCCACAAGATTCATCGGGGAGGGGATCTTTCTCCTGCACCACAGTCTGGCTCGGGCTGGGATGGAGGGAATACCTGGTGGATGACGGAGGCTCTTCCTCCTCATTGAACGCCTGATGCCCTTGCCCACCCAACCATCCCGCCCGGCCCCGGCCCGGGATCTCCCTCCTTCCTGGAGGGTGTCCCTCCCTGAGGCCCTCTCAGGTCCCTCTCGGCCTGGGGTCCCTCTCCCGTCCCCGCCCAGGCCAGGTACCTGCGCCGCGGGCCCCGCCATGCTGGCCGGCCCCAGAATAAGGCGTGCCGGTGGGGGCGGCCGGAGCGGGACGGCGTCCGGGGCTGCCCCCTGGGCCGCGGGTCCCCAACCTCAGGAAGCCGGGGCGGTCCAGGGGGCCGGGGACGGCGGGGGGTGGCAGCAGCAGCAGCTGCCAGAGCAGCAGGAGCAGTCCCGGCAGATAGCGCAGCATCGTGGGCTTGGCGCTGCTGCCCGTGTCCGTCGGGGGGTCGTCGCTCCCTCGCTGGCTGGGTCAGTCGTGGGCCCGTGCGCCGCTCCCGGGCGGCCAATTTAAAGGTCCCGCGGCCGTGGGCCCCGCCCCGCAGCCTTGGGTCCCGCCCCTCGGCCGTAGGCCCCGCCCAGCGAACCCGTCCGGGGCCGCGCGCCGCCTGCTCAGTGCATTCCCGCGGCTGGCGTGGAATGTCTGGGGCCCCTCGGCCAGCGGCGCGGTGCCCGACTCCGGCCCGCCGCCGCCGCCGCCCCTCCCGCCCCAGCCCTGCGCCGGCGCGGTCTCGTCTGGGTGGTCTCGGCCCGGTGCCTCCCGGCCGGGCTCTGCCTCCCTTGAAACTTCTGCCTCGCTGTACACCCAGGGCCTGGTCGACCGCACTCGTCTGGCCAGGGCCCCAGGCTCCCGGTTCAGGAGGCCAGAGCTCCGCCGTCCAGCTCCGTTCAGGTTTGCCTGCCTCAAGGTTTCACCTCCATCCTCACGCTACGTTCCTTTTCCCTACCAAGTAACCCAGGTTTTTCTGTGGGCTCTCTGTAAAAAAAATAAAAAAGGCTCACAGAGTCTACCAGCATGAATAGACATGCTTTCATCGCAGCTTCAAAAATCCATAAACATTTGAACTTATATTACCGGGACTAGAAAGTCAAACATACATTCCCCAGAGAGCCCCCCCTCTGAGCTGGAAGGACAGCCTGTACCACAGGCTTCGAAGGCTCTCCTTCTATTCCACTTCCTCCCCAGAAGAGTGATGGTGGCAGCACAGGACTGGAGGCTGCCCAGGGGACCCTCCAGGGACTCACAGTCTACTGGCAGAGAAAGAAGCATAAATGATGTACCTGTCTAAGGGAACACACTGAATTCAAGGAGAGACTGGCTCTGCCTGAGGAAACCAGTAAGGCTTCTAAAAGCAGGTCATCTCTGAGCTGGATCATCAAACGTGACAATGAACATGAGTTCCAACAGATCCTGTCTGGTCTTCCTGCTTTCAGACTACTGCCTTTTAAAAGCTACACTCTACACAGTAATCTTAAAATCACTTCTCTTCTTAAACCTTGCAACTTCACTTCCAGTAAAATCCGAGCTCCTTTTCATGGCCACCTCATCTACTGAACTGACCACATCTGGAACTGTACTCTGCTATCCATGCGTCAACCACACTAGCCTTCCCCCTGTCCTGGAGGACACCAAGCTTGTTCCCACCTTGTGGCCTTGGCACCTGGTTGTCCCACTTCCCATCTGCCATCTTCTCCCCCCAACCCTAACACACCCGTCTCCCTCTCATCACTTCAGAGCAGTGGTTCTCAAACAATTTCTCATCTCATCAAACCTCACAGAATCTACACACTCCATCAGTATCCATGGGAGCAGCTTAGGACATTGAGAGTCATAAGGAGGGAAAACATCTCTCAGCTCCCAGTGAGAATTCACCAATTTCAAAGAATCTTAGAAGAAGCTAGAATGTTATCATAATGGGAAAGGGACACTAAGAAGATTGAAAGAAGTTATGCCAAGGTGAGAAGGGCTTGCCAAACACAATGTCTGCCAGCTCTATGGACATATGTCATTTGTCATTCATCCTACTCTGGATGATTCTCAAAGCCTTTGAATACTCTTACTAAACTTGAGGATTCCAACTTTATGAGTCAGCACCTCCCCAAGTAGAATCCAGCAACTTGCTTCCCAGCATCTCTTGCAGCTATATATGCAAGGGACCCAGACTTCACTGACCAGATGAGCTCGGCCATTCTGTTTCAGCAGCTAGTGGTGAAAAGAAGCAAGCACTTCGTAGACTT